AACTTCCGTGTTTGTTCTATTACTTTTCCTTAAACTTTGTGCAGTGATCATAACTTAATAAAAATGCCTGCTCCATACTTAACATGTATGGAATATGTGGTAAGCATAGAGGACGCTGTGCGGAATCARGAGTGTTGCCCAAGGCGTAGCTGAAGTCAAGCTCTTGTGTTCCCTGTGGCGCCTGCGCTCTGCATGGGCATGTTGAGATTAACCCTGGCATTCTCTGGTTCTCACGTGCATACTAAGTGTCCTCGTTCACATGTGGGATTTGGCTTTGCTCTAACTGGATACATAATGGATATAGTGATGCAAGTTATTAAGCATCTGTATTAACAGTACTTGCTAGGTATTTCATAGTGTTTTAACACATGGTTTTCATAAGACCACTAAACTGTGTTTCATAGCTAACAGTTTAGTCTATTGTTGATTTCCTATAGTGGCCATGTAGAAAGAAATTGGCTGAACTTGGAATGAGCTTCCTTCTCACACAGCTTTGCAGTTTTCAGTAGTAAGCAGTGTAGGAATAGCCTCAGGTGTAGGTCATATCTGAGCCATTTTTTATAATGGCTATAGCTAGCACTGTGGATTTGTTTAATCCTGTTTTGAATTTGTTAATACTTTTTGATCCACGCTTCCCATAGTACCAAGTTCCAGTTAGGTATTTTTTACAAGTATTCCATTAGCTGATTTTAAAGCTGGTGCCTTATAATTTTACTGAGAGTCAGTTTGTTCTTGTATTATTGTTCCCTCATCACCTTCTCCATACCATTTATGGAGAACTCAGTCATACCTTTCTTTAGTTATGTTTGGATAGTCTAATTCTAAATTCCTTGCAGAGAGAATTTCCCTGTCTTTTTCTTTTCTGAGGATTCTCTATTCTACTGTTTGAATGTGGTGACMTTTTTGAAGGAGAAGGGCTAGAGTCCTCTAGTAGTTTATAACTTTACTGAACACTTAGCCTGCAGACTGTTTGTATTTCTTTGAAAGCATTTTATCCTTTCAGTAGTTCCTTTATTTTCTTTTAATAAGTATTTTATATTCAGTTTGGTTTCTTTAAAAAAAAAAAAGAAATAGTTATAAAATAGTCAGCATTTTCGTAGAGCCAGCCTTTTCCTGTAGTTTATCTTCTGTGTTCTCATACCCAATTACATAGAAGCTCAATGGCAAACATATTACTTGTAAATAATTCAGAGTATTTGTTTTTCGACAGTATGTAGCTCCTGGGAATGAGTGCTACATGATTGTCCATCCGATGAGAATCTTCTGGTATTTCTGTTTAGACTAATAATTTATTGACCACGCATCGAGAAATTCTAATCTAACATATGTAGGTTTTATGCTCCATGTTCTTACCTTATTTGATGGATATTCTGTCCAATTATCTTAGATATATATATTCTAGTTAATAAGAAAATCTAAAMATTTAAGCAGATGAGCATCAAGGTTGCATGGTTGATTTGAGAGTAAAATTAAAAATTTATAGTAGATTTTTTCTTTTAACCCCCAGTTTCCCAGAGTATTTCTGAGGTGATTGCCATGCCATACCAACTACCTATGTGGTTAGCCCCAGCTAACACCCACCTTCCTAGAAGTCAGTGACAGAATGCCAGTTTTATGGAGCCAGAATTCCACTGAATTATTCTTGTTTCTGTTCCATGTAAAGCCTATTAAATTAATTAAAGGACAGAGATACTCTGAGTCCAATAGAATATTGATTTATTTCTGCAGTTGTCAGTTATGTGGATTATGGGAAGGGAAAAAAGCAGCCGAGACATACTAATATGTTTAAGACATCAAAAAAAGTATATGCAAGTAGAAAATTATACATCAAAAGTGTAAGATTATTATCATCTGACTGTAGAAACAAAATAACTTGCCCTAAATTGTTCCATTTCTTGGTTCTAGTTATTTTAACCTCTGTTACACAAAACAAYACATTTTTTAATTTCTCTTCTGTTCTCTCTTGAAGTGAGAGAGGGGCCCAGTTTACCACATTGTCACTGAACACATTTAAGGGGACTTTTAAGCGCCTTTTATATCCATGGGGGGCCTTAATGGAAATAAGTGAGGAGAAAATAGTCTTTAGAATCAGATTCTCCTGGACTTTTTAAACAATATATTCATTCCCATCACATTCCTGCTTTTTCATGATACCTTCCTGTCTTCCTTTTGAAGCAAATGTGTCTTGTGATTAAAATCACAAGAAGTGTGTGTATTATTTTAATCACACTTATAAATATTTATATATATACACCTATGATTCTTTATGTAAAGGTACAGCAGAGCACAGCTTTATGTAAAGATGCCCTTCATGTGTTACACCATTTCATTCATCTTCATTCATATGTATTCTATAGCTTTAAAAACACTATTGAATATTACTTTAAAATGGGCACTTGTTGATCTTTCCAGCTTTATAGCTATAGAAACCTTTATTCTCTCAGCGTCATCTTTGTCTACCAAAATATATCCAAATATTAACCTCTGAAATTCTTGTCATTTTTTACCCAATTATGGTCTTTCCTCTCATTATTATACATTCCAAATATCTTACAACTATCTTACAGAAGAAATGTCCGTACTAAAATGCATTGAAGTCTGTAGAAAATCTCTGAATTCCCCATCTCCTTTTTTCTAAGGCAAAGGAACTGGATTTTGGCAGAGAGATTTGTTTATTACTATGGAACTTGCATAATAAGGTCCCATCTAGACCAATGCAGCTGGGGAACATTCCTGGACACTGGCAYTCAATCCTGTGGGCTGTTGAATATTTAACACATTGCACAGTATTGCCTTGTTTCAATTAACACTGTTCTGAACAATTCCCAAGTGTGATTCAGGAGTGGCCCAGTGACTATTCCTCATAGGCAGCTTGGCTAAAGCCATCCTGCTCTGGAGGGCAGGAGAGCTAACAGTCTGGTTGCAAGCCTTCACTCTCAGTTGGTCTCAGCTTTAAGGAACATTCTCTGCACATTTGGTTTACTAGTGCATATGTAGCTCTGTAGTAAAAGATCTAGGAAGGCAGGAGGAACAGGGGTCTTATTCTTCTGCAGTTAGTAACTGTAGGTACGTGTTAGGTTAGAGCTACTGAGGCTACTGAGATACAGAGGAATCGAAAGTCTCATTTGAATAGATTCCGAGGATTTAAGTCCTGTGGGTAATTTCTAGCCACATCTAATGCTGCTGCTCAGACAAACTGAGCACATACACAGCAGGTTCCAACCTTCTCAAACATCCTAAGCCTCCTGATCCTTTTCTGCCATTGCCTGTACATGAAAATGAAGTTACCGCTATATGCTTTGAGTATGAAGTCATGTGGCATTCCCTGTGTGTATAGATTATCCTTAAAGGATATGAGGTAAATATGATGCATCCCTTCTGTGCATTCTGAGCAGAACACTGTACATATACTGTGCACTGATTCTCTCATTTTTGTTCAGACAGGCTCATAGAAGGCCATGCAGGCTTGTAAAAAGTATTTTTTTCTGGATTTGCTTGCTCTGCTCACTGTATTTTTTTCCTTTGGCATTTGCACTTTAAGATTTGAAGCAAACATCTTTGTCCATATAATTGTCATACAATGTGAATAATTAGGGTTCCCCAAACAATCCTTCTYCAGAAAAGTGCAGCCAAGGACATTAATGTTAGAAAGACAACCTTTTGCCTTCATAATTGTGTTTAGGCTTGTATGGTTATCTTTGCAATTTATTCTCCAAAGTAAATTAAAAATAATATTAGCATTTTCTTTGCCAAACACTTGTCTTACTAAGATTTTAAACATGGAAATTGTTTTTACAAACACAAATATCAGCCACAAAAACATATACTTTTGTAGCTGAACGCCACCAAAATTATTAATGAGAACAGTGTTTTACTTTCAGCATCATGTTCTATGGTTTAGTAAAAACTGATTATCACTGTGAAATTTGCACAATTTCATAAATTTTCTGATTTAATGAAAAAAGGGGGGTATCAGATGAGAAAGCCTTTGGGTGTTGTATGCATGCTTAGAAGACTATGACTTAAAAAAGCATCTAGAATAGGAAAGGAGAGCGACTTACTGAGTAAAGCTATGTTTTCTATTTCAAAACCCATACAAACCAAACTGTATACTAGAAAATATATTGTGTAGATGTTTCATGCTTCTCAAACAATAATAAAAAAAAGCATTTATAAACAAACAGTTGTGACTTGAAAAATGAAACCAAAAAATAGTATCTTCTTACAGAATTTGTTTCCTGTGTAGTTATGGTTGCTTAATAGGAGCCTGATGCTTTTATTTCTAAGACATCAGAGTTTTCAAGTGTATCATGAGGGCATGCTTTAAGTCTTAAATGTCTGTCTTGAATAAAGATGATTTGGTATTCTAATGATTTGGTTATGTCAGATTAGTAAGAAAAAAGTGGTAACAAAAACTAATTTTTGTTTCTATAAATATCTGTCATTAAAAAAAAAAAAAAAGCTATAGGGGAAATCTGACGTAACCAATCATTGGTGGAATTTTTAGTTGTGATTAACAGAAATGTTCTAAGATCATCCAGGAAATGTCATTGAACTTCTTCATACCAGTATGCTACCTTTTGTCATAGCCAGATTTACTGCATTTTCTGTCAACATATCCATGTGACATGGATATTGATGCCCATAATTAAAGCTGAGTAAGAGTCAAAATAGAGGAGCCTAAGCTTGCTGTCACTGTGGTAGTGACAAAATTCTACTTAACTTTGGCTGAAGCAGGACTGCTGAAGCAGGACTGGGGGGGGAAAAATTGTTCTTAGAGCTTGTCTTGAGCAGGCAGTGCTTGGAGTGCACTGAGTAGCTCTGTATTGCTCAGTTGTTTTATCAGAATCAGCATACCTATCAAATCCCTTGATGTTAGTGTCATTCTTACTGCACCTATTCTTAAATGACAAGGAAGTATTTTAAACAAATTGTAGATATTGCGCAGGTAAAAGAAGAACATACGAGCACAATTAAAAAAAAAAAATCTGTCAGTGCTTGCCAAATTACTTTATTTATATTATGTCAACGAATGAAATTAGATGCCAGAAAAGAGATACTGTATCAGATGTTATTACTTACACTTGAACTACCAAGGAAAGATGTTGTCAGTAGCCTCTAGCGAKATTTGGAACAGTGGTACATGGTGGTTCAGCTCTCAGCGATTCGTAGGATACTGAGGGCAGCTCCTGTCACAGGTCCTCTGTTTCTGGAACAGTGTTGGAATCCGAAGGCTGAATGAACACTACAGGAATATTCTCGGATGTCCATCCTTTAGGAGTCCTATTGAAGGATCTCCTGGCAGCAAGAGGGTTTGCGAGGAGCATGAATCTGGGATCGTTTAGCATCAGTAGATTAAAATCTGGTACCTTGAATTTAACCAGCTTTGATGCTCTCTCAAAACCACCAAAGGGAGTAGCAACTCTGCAGATATTAGAGAAATAAAAGTAAAAGATGATTTTAAAAAATACCTGTTTTCTTTTTCTCCCAGGACCTGAAAAGAATAAAAGGTACTTTAATTATGAAGATTTACTAAAATTTCTTGTTGACCTTTTTAAGCTTTTGGGAAAAGTATGCTCATAATTTTTCTGAAAAAAAGTCTCTTTTAAGATCATGTTTATTCTCCTGTAGATGCATGCTCATTTTCATCTGTCTTCAAAATTACCTATGGATAGAAAAGCCATGGGGAAGAAAAGGCGTTGCAAAAAACTCTTGTTGYTTCACGGCCACTGAACTTAATCATATGTGCAAAGCTGGTAAATCTGAAAACACAGTTTAGCAACACATTCTCTGTAGCACATAACTAGTTTAAGATGTTCTCACCCTATTTTCTTCTATCTCCAGCTGCTTTTTCCTCCCACTATGCTATATTTCAGCATTGTATTGTTGCACCAGGAAAAATATGTGCGATGTGCAATAATAAACTTCATCGCTGAAGTAGTCTGGATTTAAAAAAAAATTGCAAATCAAAAGAGCATTTTTAAATCCAAATTATTTCAACAATCTGGTTTATAATGTTACCCTCAAACTGTAGCAATAGAAGGGTGGAAGCAATAACATGTAATGTGAAGCAGAAAGGAATGGCCAAAGATAGCAGCCTTTGGAAAGGAAGGGAATGGGTGAGGGTGCCTTGCGCAGCTTTGTTGCTGCAGAAAATGTTTGTGTAACTAAACCTTGAAATTAGCCCGTTATCTACTGCTAGTGTTTTTCATTTATTTAAATGTAAATGTTCCTTCAGATGATAAGCCTGAGAAATGAAAAGATAGGAAATGTTAAGCATGTACTGACTGTTGCATCTGCAAGTATTTTAAAATATTTTTCATGGTTCTTTTATATTTGTTTCTTGGTAGAGAAAATTAGGTACATTTTTCTCTTACTTTGTTTTCAGAATCCTTTGTATAAGCAAAGATTTGATTTGAACTAAGCTGAATGCTGCATGTTCTCTGTATCTATACATCTATAGATACTTAAATCTATAGATACTTATGTTCACAAAAATAATGAATTCAGAAAAAATGAAACTGTCATCTTAAAATATACTGCTCTGCCGTTGCACAGGCAATTCACTGAATTTTGATATGAGCAAGTTTTGATAACAGGATTAGTGTTAACTTCAAATGTCAATCCATACAAGATGAAAAATATCTTAGAAGTTCTGGACACATGCATATGAATGGAAAAGAGGACAGCTTTGGAATAAGCTCTATAGCTCTCCGTCAAAGGAATGTAAGACTAGATTTTGCTGCAGCAACCAGTCCATGTATTAAACTGTTGTGGCCAAAGGGAGTTCCATATACAAAGTTCCTGTGGTATTAAATGCTTCTTGTGAAACTGTCTTCTAGGTCATGGTGTCAAATTGATACTATTTGATAATGATTAAAAATAATTGCTTGGTAATTGGTGCAGAGTGAGTGCAGTGATCTACATTTTACAGGATGATAAAGATTGTTTTAATTGTTGTTCCAATTCAGATATGCATTCTCACATCGTTGTAATATTTAGTTCTCATCAATAGGTAAATTAGAGATGATCAATATGAATAGAACAATAAATAGCTGTGTTTWAAAAAAAAGGCAAAACATTTTATAGTTTAAAAATTTCACTTTGGAGTATTTTTTTTGCATTTAAACACAACAAATTTCTACAGGTAAAACAAATAGGATAGTGTTTTATGAAGATTCAAACAGCCTTTGTGAGAACAAAATTACGTAGTTCTTCTACAAGGTCGGGCCTCAAAATTMTGCATTCCTGCATGCTTTCCAGAAAGCACGTGATAATCAACACAAAGAAGAGTACAATAATTGGCTAATAAATGTTAATTTTCCTTCACAACAGCAGTATGTTTCTCAGAGCAATGATTTGTCTGCTGATGTGATGTTGAAATGACCTATATTGTGAGCAGATTACTTCAGTGCTGATTCATTGTATAGAAGCCTAAAACTCATGTCTGAAATTGCACTAGACATTGCTCACAGTAAGGGCGGAAATCCTGGTTTGGAGCTGAGGAAGTGTAAGAAGAATTTTTTATTTTTTATATTCACTTTGCATATTCCTAAAAAGTAGAGATCAACACAGCCACGTTTCTTTTTAAATGTTATTTTAGTAGGGGTTCTTGTATTTTTTAGTCTTTTTATTGAACAGTATATTGCCTCAAGATGGATGACTACTTGTAATTGAATGTTTGGGGATGTTTGAAGAAATGCTGGAAATGCATTTCCAAAATGTGACTGTCAATCTGCAAAACCTCTGCTTATTGCTAGTTCTCTGCAAAAAAAACCCAAAATTTAAGAGCAAGGAACAATCTGCATAATGTTCAGAGTTTATTGGTACCTTAACGCAAGAACTAATACCAATTTCTCTAATGTATTTAGGTGCTAAAGAACTGCCTAAGCATCTGGCCCCCATGAGTTGAAGTTCAGGCACCCAAAATTACTTAGAGGGTCCAGAGCTCTAAGGATTTTTATGGTAGTATTCAGAATTCATTAATCAGTAAAGCAGAGCCCAGTGCAGGTGGACTGGATTCCTTCASCGTTGTTGAGACAGTAGTCTTTGCAAAGTGAGAAAACTGAGCAAGAATTTAYCCAGTTAGAGTGGCAGAACCGGTCAGACTTGCTCGTCTTAGGTGAGCAAGATGTGGTGCATTGTATGTCACCCTTAATTGTCAGCAAATACAAATTCCTGCTGTTYCTTACAGGCATTGACTTGATGTTTCCACACTGGAAAGAAGACAAGATTTTTTTCCACCAGTAAAAGACTCTTCAGTCTAAATGGGAATTAGCTTCCAAAGGAAATGAGAGTGTTTGGCTCTGTCTTGCAGCGTTTCCTCTGTAGCACAAGCTCATTTTCATGGATGAGGAGGAAAGTAATAGCTGTGTCTGAAGTGCCTATTAGATCCTTAGAACCTTGTTTCTCTGATGGTGTACTCTGCCTAATGCTCTCTACTGTTTAGGCATTACTTACTGGCTTTCTCACAGAAAGCTCTGCTGCCAGAGGAAAGGGTTCTTGGTATTTGTTGTCACTACCTCTTTGTCCCTAAACCGACCAGCATTGCCACATCCTTGCAACTAGTCTGAGTCCCTATCAGGGACCTGGGTCCCTACCTCTGAATTCATTATGTCTGTTTCTGCTCCTGCTGAAGTTAGTGATGAAACTAGCACTGATGTATGGTCTTGAGTGAGCTCCTTACTGTTGGCAGTAGAAGAATAATGTGTTCTCTTTGATTCTGAATATACGTATTCATGTGTAAATGTGTTCTAACACATCAGGCTTCCCAGCTACTAAAGTCCTGTTGTGTTTACAGTTTGCCTAGAAGAGAAAGCTGAAAGAAACCTGAATCTTACTTCTTTCTTAACAGGTATTACCAAAACAATTCTAGGCTGTTTCCTTTGGGAGTCCAACSTGCCACATGTATTGTTAACTCCTCCTTCAGCAATTAGTGGAGACTGCACTAGTGTTTTGCAGAGTATAAGCATAGTGGYGCTTTGCTGAATGACAAAGCATGATAGTCTTGACTAATACCAGCTCTGATTAAAAAAAAAAAAAAAAATGGTGTCATTATATTACACTTAAGCGGTTGCACTATCATTTTCTCTCATTCCAAGACTACAATTAAAGAAATCAATGATGCTGTGACCTAAATGCACAGAATGACTTAATGGGATCTAGACACATTAAATTCCAGAGGTACCTCATCGTTCTCACAAGCCCAGAGGCTGCTAAATTCCTGAGATGTCAGTGTTTTCCTGGTGCAGATTTGCTATTCCAGCTCAAATTTGCCATTATATTATCTATCATCTGCATTTATCTTATGCCAAAGCTTGGGTGTTATTACCTAATTAATCATCTTTTGCCTAAACTTGCACCTTTGAGAACACACATAGTATACAACTGCAGCAAGTTTGGAGCACAGGACATCGTGSTGCTTTCATTCAAAATAGTGGCTACTAATGTTGAACTTCAGTGCCTAATAATAATAATAGGTGATTATTATCATCATAGTAGGTGACTTTTGAAAGAAATTTTGTGTTTCTTCAGTTCTATTACTTTGGATGCAGTGTCAGTCCACTTYGTAGGAGAGGACCTGAATGCTTATCTATAATAACTCCAAGGGTTATGAAGGCCGTTGTACTGAAGGAAAAAAGCTACACACAATACAGAATTGATTGGGTCAAATATGGAGTGACTCTTCATATGGACATCATGGGACACAACTAATAGCAGAGTGATGCAGGTTCTGTTTTCTRTTCTAAATTGGCATGCTTCGTTTACTGTAAGCAGTAAAAATTATGCATGAAAAGGCTGGAGAATACAAATGGGGGCCCCAGTTCCTCYTTCTCTAAGTGAGCTTCATAATGACTCAACTAGCAATAGAGGTTGTGTATGGGTCAGAGTTTCGTTGTGCTCTGTACAGTGTTGCAAGTCTTAAAAGGCAAGGATATCCCCACCTCTTCTCTGGAAAAGATAGGAACTACGTGTCTTCTCAGAGTTAAGAAGTAAAACCCAAACTAGCCGCATTCTAGGAAAATGCTGTTACCGAACAAATGAACCTTATTCTCTCARTGTGCATCTGAAAAGAATCCGTGTGACCCTTGCTCTGTTTCAGGAAAGGAAGTCTTTAATGCAGACCTGATCTCAGGCTACCAGGCTTAAGTAGTGATAGTCTTGGCAAAGATGAATTTAAGTCTGTGACTTTTCTGTGGCTAGCTTGGAATTTGCAGGGTAGTGACTGTTTTGAATTCCATAATCAGGTACCCCACTCTTAGGTGTTTTAGGAGTGTAGGCATTTAACTCAGAACTATGAAATCCTACAAGCTGCTAGCTTAACATTCAGCAATGCAAATGTTTGCTTGCTGAATTTAGTCTTTCTTGCTAAAAAATATAAAATTAAATGACAAACCATTATTTTATTTCAATTTTTTTCCACTTTTTTTTTCCAGTGAGGAAGACACWGGTTTTGCTTAAAATGGCATGTGTTGTATCCCCATGCCTTGCATTTTAATTTAACCAGTTTTGTAATCTGGACCTAGATTTAAGTGGCCAGTTCTAATTTTTTATGATGCTTATGAGGTAGACTGTCAACCCTTTGCTTGTATATATGGACATATGTTCAAGATATTTGGATTGTGATGATCCACAGTTGTGCTATGTCATATATAGAGAAAATTCTCATRGAAAGAAATCTAAAGTTAAAGTTATGATGAGAGCAGCTGACAGAATGTGGCACCAGAAAGCGACTAAAAATCTACAAAGAAGCCATCATATGCCATTAAGATCATAAGATACATATCATTATTAATGGGGCCTGCATGTCACTTTTGATCTTTCTTTCGCAGTAATGACTAGCATGCTTGACTCTCAATCTTTTGACTGATTGTATCTCTATTTCTATGTGTATATATATATCTTAGGCTGTTTTTTTTTGTGTGGGTGATTATAGTAATCAATAGTACATAGACTGTGCTGTCACTGTTTCAGTGTTAGCAGCTGTGGCCACATCTCTGATATGCATTTGTTATTTTGTTTTCTGAGCAGAATGTGCCACACAGACTTAATTATTAACATGGTGCTGCATGTTACTGTTGCAAGGACAAAATTAGGGTAGTGTCTACAGAGCCAATTTTGATGTTGAATATTTTTTTTTCTCAGTGCACTCATAGTTGAGGCCCACCTCTGCTGTAGAATACAAGTGACACTGTGAGATTTCTCTTGAGGTTTATAGTGCTGTGAACTRTTTTATTTTTCGGTAGATTGCTGCCTATTGTTTTGTGAAAGGGCTTTGGTTTGGCTGAGCTGTCTGGACCCCTCCAAGGGTCCTTTAGGAATTTTTTTGTGTGATTTCAGTAAATAAATATGCTATATATGGTATTAATGAAAGCAAAAGACTTGAGGGAGGGTGTGTTTTGAATCTTCTGAAATAGCTGCAAAACCAACAAATGTCAATATATCAGGAAGTTCCACCAAAAGCCTCAATATACTACTTACTATGTAAATAACTTAACTCTCAGATCCTTCTCCACTCCAAAAAAAGCATTTTTGATCTGGTAGCTACTTCTTTTTTTCTTTCTTTTTTTCTTCCTTCCTTCTTTCTTTGGTTACTCTATTTTCCTGCTTTTAAAGTGATGTCTATTAATTTGTTCTCAAAGGTTCGAAGATTGTAGAAGCCGCTAACTTCTTTGTGCGAGAATTTGTTTGGTAAAAGCTCCTTGAACTATCATTCTGCAAACCTGTTTTGTGTAGAAAACGGTTTACAAGACAAATTTTAACTGAGAGTCTCCCTAATATATCTTATATATCCACCAAAGTCAGCAGAAATACTGAAATAGGTTTGAATATATAACCTGTGCTTCTCACTTGTTGAGTACACTGATTTCTCTTACTTTTTTTCTTTCAATACTGTCAAGATTTTTCTTCTATTCTTGGTTGTGGAATTAGTTTGTACGGTACAGAGACACCAGTTTCCCTTTTAAGGGTCTTGAAGGCTTTTTGTAGTCTGGGCTTGTGTTCATGTTTATTACATATGTTTGCGCATGCAGATGGTACATTTTTTATTTGTGTTTGTTTTGCATCTGATAGAACTATTCCACATCACAGTATTTCATCTTTACCTGTTAAAGCTCCTGTAGTCAGGCAGCTCTGGCTTTGCTTCAGGTTTAAAGAGTTTAGGATATAAAGCCTCCAGGAGCTCTGGATCATCTCGAATGGCCTCTATCCAAGGAGACTGATAGTACTTTGGCACAGAAGTAGTGTTGAACTTTTCGGGAGGAATTTCTTTCAGTGGTCCAGAATATCCTAAAAGGAGATGAAGCAAACTTCTTATAATAATACAATGTGTTTTGTGCTTCCTTACCACCATCCTATGTAAATAGGAAGTAATATATAACCAGTTCACAGTGAGCTAAACTGAACAATTAAATCAAGTGACTTGCCCAAAGTTACACAAACAGAAAGCTGGCAGAGGGATATTTATAGCCTTATGGATAATCACTCTGAAGTATTTCACTCTTCTATGAGGCTAAGGATAGTTTATTTTAGTTTTATTTAAGCTACTATTGTCATAAGTATGTGTTTGAAACCAAGGTATAGTCTGAGGTATATCTGCATAGGCTGAATAAACAAAAGTAATTTAAAAACAGCATTTTGGCTAATGTTAGGATATTTCTATAGTTTTTGGGTGAAATTTTTCAAAAATATTAGAAAGASACTCACAGCCACTATAATTGAGACAAATATATGCTGCCTACAAGAAGGTCAAAGACTTCTTTCATCTCTTAGCAGTGGAATTAGATGACTTCTCTTTGCATTGTGTTTGGCCTGTGGATGCACAGAGTCTCAGCAGTCACTAACAGAGAAGCACTGACCTAGTTTACATAGCCTGGAAAAGGTCTGCACAAAACATGCATTGAATAATTCTAAACAAAGAATGAATTTGTAAAAAGTCTGCTCATGGATAATTCATAAACAGGAAAAAGGGCTATATCACTGAATAAATTAATTAAAATAAATTAGCCTTCTCTAGTCTTCAAAGAATACAAATAAGGCCTTCCTGTATCTCACTACTTTAAATAAAAACAACAGTACACTCACAGTTAAGGACTTAAATAATACAGAACAGTCTATACAGCCAGAGGCAAATTCCCTTCTCAGTTACTCCTCTGCAAAGGATTCTAGCAAAACTTGAAGTGACTTCAGATTTACATTTATGGGTAATTAAACTGTAGTGGGTAACTTCCAGATCATTGAAAAGTTTACTGCAGATTAGAAACTAAGATTTGATGAAGATAAATCAGGATATTGATTTGATTGAAAATCTGRGGATTTTTTCTCAATATTCATTCAGAAGACCTAGCAGCTTCTTACCTTAAGCAAACCAATAGAGGAGCAGTTTCTGTTGATACATGTTTTAAATTTAGGGAGAAAATAGTGCAAAAGGCATGTTTTTGAAAGGCGGAACTTCAAAAATGAGCAGAGGTAATTAATATGCACTGCCTTCATTTTTGTGGGAGCTTAAGATTAATTCTTACCTGATTCAATTTGAGTGGGAAGTAACTGTAGGTCCATCAACAAATTCCTGTTAATGATACTGTTGTATTAAGAGCTCTTTGCTGTGAAGTGAGTATTAACTCTATGCTAGGTCTAAAGACATATATATTACCTGGGGCAATGTTTTCAGGATGCGGTGGGCTCCGCGGATCGGGTGTGTTAGGCGGTGTCATTGGGGCATGCTGGGCAATTCCATCAACACTGAGGCCGTCCATATGAACACTTGGTATGGGCTCGCCACGCTGTGTGCAGATAGAAATAAATACCACTAAGAGCATGGGCAAACACAGAGATCCTTAATGCTTCTTTGTTGAGAGGTGAAGTATTAGCCCAGCTTACAGGCAGGACTGAGACCTAGGATATGTTGTCCAGAGCCATAATGTCCTGCTGTTTGGTACCCTGTTTGTTAGATACAATTTCTCAGGATTTTCTGAATGGTTGTTGCAAGATGAAAGAGTTTCACAACTCTCTAGCACTGAATGTGTAAGCARAAGTGAGTAATTTATCAGTGCTGAGAATGGTATTCCAGTACAATTTAAAAGTCTAAATCACAAGAATGTAAATGCTTCATTCAAGTGTTGTGGGTGTTGGGAACTGGATGAGCAAAACTTCTGAAGTTGATATCAAATACAGTCCATTTGAGTTATCTGACCTTTTTCTAATTTTGTGATCCATTGATTGAGGGGAAAAATTAATTAACATGCAGTCTGCTAGAAGAGTTCATCCTCCCTGCTGCCTAATCTGCCATCACACTATCTACCGTTGTCTGCAGGCTGGGTAGCTCACAGCAGCTGTAGATCTAGCACCCTGGCAAGCAGACCGGTGACGTGTGGCCCTCCAAGCACTAGACRTGAAAAACTAGATATGCCAGCCTGGGCACCCTTACTACCTGAGGGCTAAATAAATCTAGCAGGTTTGAGCAGTTCGAGTTTCAAAGCACTAATTCTTCAAAGCTTTCCCTTCTCTATCACTTGAAATTCACCACATTTGTCAGACTASTTTTGTTTGGGGTTCTCTTTCCTTTATTTATAAAAGAAATAACAATTCCAGTGCAGGCCACTTTCTGGAGATTAGCGATAGGCTGTTATTTTCCACCCTCCTAGCAGGTCATCGGTTCTAAGGAAACATCTAAAGGCTTAATCATTGTTGCTTAAATATAGAAGCAGAGTCTCATAAGAAGTCAGTGTCTTATTTTAGCCATGACACACACTCTAAAAGCAATTTAAATACAGACTGTTTTAGAGTAAGAATTTCTTAAAGTAGGAAAGCAAACAAATAATACTTGTTTAAACTTGAAACAAAGAAAGATCAAGGCAGTGTGTTTTGGACCATCCTAAAGTATTAGAAAGATTATTTTAACTGTGGTGGCCAAAATCATAAAGATGATGAAGATAACATCAATGATGCCTAAACAGGAATTTAAGGGAGGGGAACAGAAACCAGAGAGGCCTTTTTTCTTCCTTTTACTCATGTGAGAATGTCATGCTGGCTGTATAGCATGCRTACTCTATATGTTTTTGTGGGAAGAATTAGATGAGAGAGGAACTGTTTTATGACAATTTCAGAAGCAAAAACAGCAAAAACTTATTTTATCTGYATAGTTTCTAATACTCAGTAGGGAAGGTAGTGTGTGGCAGCAGATMGAGATGCTCTTGATGGAACATTTCCATCCAGACCTGGTAGTTAAAAGCTTAGAATTTTAAGTTTGCTGGTATTTACAGAATTAAATAAGCCAAACCATTGCATCTTTCCCACGGAAATCTCAGCTCTCCACAACATCAAGTGTTTCTGCTTAATTACGGGCATGTGTACATGTTTGTCCTTGCCTTGGTGTATTTTCATCGGTAATACCTGTCACAGTCTGAGTAAACTATTTGGTGCTTTGCTGTTCTGTGTAATGAATTRCTCATCTCCTAGTTGTACCATTACAAACTTTAGATTAAATCACAACAATACATTGTGGTTGCTATCCGTATTTTCATAAGTGAACTTTTTGTTTAAAGAAAAATTCAGTCGAGATCTTTCTTTTATGGATTCTGTTGGAGGTAACAGAGTTCTGTTAGGTCCTAACACACCTATAGCATCATCTTAAGTTAGTGGTAGAAGATTCTGTGGAAAGACAATTTCTGTTTCAAGAGAAATATTTTCTAGGTGAAGGAATAATAAACTTCCCAACACTTCTCTTCCTCTTCAAAGCAACTTAAAAGATACTGGGACTAATTCTACTCCTTAGTCATATACTTTCACATCTGAAGTCATGGGGATGCATATGYGTGATTGAGAAGCAGAATTTAGTACAATAAGGATTTGAAATTGCCCTGGAATTAAAGGGATGACTTATACATAGAATGAGATTGGGCACAAGGTTCATGCTCAGATAATTAAACCTTGCAGCACATTTCAGAACTAGATAAAAACTATCAACATTTCTGTCTCTATTTTCAAAGATTAGCAAGAACTTCAAGTATTTTGCAAAAGCCATAGATGAGACAAATGTCAGGTGTGTTTAAGTTCCTGCCATGAGAATTCCCAAGGTGTCACTTGTGCTTTAACCCAGTTCCCGAGGAATTAGTGCAAAGAGTAATTCTTTCTCTGAGAAAATCTTCATCTTTTATCACTTTGTTGAAACAGTCAGGACAGGAGTGTATTAGTGCAGTCATTTTGCTGCCTGAGTCTCATTTTGAGACCACCAATCTATTAAAAAAAAAAAAAAATGGTTACATGAAGTAAATGACTGTCCCATCCAAGTTTTGACTCTTAACCAGTTATTTTTTTAATAGTCAATTGTTATGGGATAATCTGATCATTATGAGCCTGAATCAGAAAAATGAGAATGATTTGATTCTGAAGCCCTTAAGCATTATGATCTTCAGATTTTTGGTTTTTCTATAGGAAGCCACAAAGATACAAAGACTCACTTTGTATCATCATAGAACTTTTTTTTTTCTGTGATTCTTCCTGAGCTACAGGCAGACAATGCACAAAATGTATCATGAGCACGAAGGAAATCTCAAACCAGTTTCACTGTGTTTTATTAAGGAGTTRTTATTAAAATACTCACATTTCTTGGCTTGTTTGCTACATAGTGGTAGTTTTCATAGGTGTATTTGTCAGATCTCCTCTGACGTCTCTTAAAGAGTCTTGCGCCTCTGTTGCTGAGGGTTGATAGTTCCTCTACCATGATATCTCTGGGAGTGCTGACTTTTCTTCCAAGGTCTAAATTGGGTGAGACTGCAACAGAATGAATTGTTATGTGCCTGTTTTCTTAAATCCTTTTTGTTGCACACCCTGCGCCTGAAATCTAACAACATATTGGTGCATACATGTGGGACACATAACATAGCTTCATACAGGGTTAGTGAAATAAGTCACTCTTCCAAAATTTTGGAGCACAATGTTGAAAACTACAAAACTGATTTTTGAAGAGGCTAAGTATCTCTTTCCCCAAATTTACTTCAGTTGAATGATACTCAGCTGTTCTGAAAATCAGGTCTGTAGTGTCCTGTACATTGTGTCTTAATAGTTAGTAATACCTTGCTTCTGCTGAAATCAGTACCAAAAATTCATCTGCTCTCTTTTCTCCCTGATCAAACCTTTAGTTAACTTTGTATGTCCTGAATTGGACAGAGGAAGAAAGCTTTTAAACATACGCACTTTTTTCTTATTGCTTATAAATTCATATTCAACTTTTTCTTTTTAAAAAAAAAACTTTTTTTTTAATCCAGGGCATGCTTGTGCTCTAAGAAAAGTTTGTGTTTGAAATTCTCTACTATAAAGCATTTTTGAAGCCTTCAGAATAAAGCTAAAGGATATGGAAATGAGATATCTAACAGAGAATTAAAATATGCTTCTAGAGATTCTTCCTCTCTTTAAATCAGTTTGAGCAATTGTGGTCTATTTTTTTTGCAATATATTTAGGAGTTTGGGTTTTTCATTAATTCTTTCAGAGAGGAAAATTGCAAGCTTTTCAAACTTTATAGCTACAAAAACTGAATTGCTAGACGCAGTGTTCCTTTCTTCACTGCTTGTGAAAAGCTGCTTCTGTGTTTTTAGTGTAGAGACTTTGAAAATGAAGATGTGTAGGGAGAGAGGAGATCAACTGAGACTGTAGGTGGAGAACTCTTAATGTGAGAAACTTTATTGGTCACCTGTGTGGAAATGAACAAGCTATTTTGTACTAATTTCTTTCTACTAGGATCTGAGACTTTAGTAAATATAGCAAAAATTGGTTCATATAGGAAATTTCTTAATTTATTTTCTATTACCACTTATATTCATATTATATTAATTGGAACTGTTCCCCTCTGTTATTCCTGAACTTCAGGAATAAAAATAGGAAGGCACAGCATACTTTGACAATTACACCAATAGTTTGGTAAGTTTCTTTGATCTGAATTCAAAGTGACATTCTGCTATTTGTTTAATAATAAACTCTTCTATTGTTTAGATGTTTTTTGTAATCTATAGGATTTAAAATTATTGACTTCTTGGAGGGCATTAAAATTAAATGAGAGAAACTATGCATGAAATACTATTGCTTATTACCAGGGTGAGCACACAGGAAGTTTGCTTTACAATTAATATTACAAATGAAGTAGCTGCAGAAAACACAATATCAAAGTTAATATTGCAAGGAAAAAAATGGGAAAAAATGAAAAACAAAGATTTTTATTTTTGGAGATGTTGAGTAATGTATCTCCTGGTAACTTTGTTGGAGAAAGATTGTGAATTGCTACATTTGGGAAAATGTGACTGAGATATTTAGGCCCATTAAATATTTAACCCAAGCTCTATAGCCTGTTTTCCACTTAATAAACCAGAACAATTTTTCAAGCCCTGGACTATGTCATTGTTGATCCACTTTCGTTGGTACTGATTTCGTTTGAATGTTTGCAGTAGATTTAATTGGAGCGAGATCAAGCCAGCCATATCATGAGCAGGAGCATGCACTTCTGCTTTAAAAATAGTATGAGTAAAGAATCCTAACACCCCCTCCTCCCCCCGTTATTTAAGAGGTAACTACAAAACAAAGAGTACTTAACATGGAAGAAAATGACTCAGCTTGTCCAATGCCATATCATTGCCAGATAGTGGTGGGTTTTGGGCTCTGTGGTTGAGATAAGGGCACTAGTTATTAGGCTGTATCCTGAAGTTTTGACCCACAACTTGACACTTTAATTTCTCAAGATTACTTCAAAGTATGACTGTTGAGTGGGTTTATGTTAGTAAGAGGTAAGAAATTTATGCTTCAGAGCAGCAACATCTTCATATAGAGAAAACTTGGTTGCCTACAAGATAGGCAATGTGTAGAACTGTGAGACTGAAGTGGAAAAGTAACTCAATATCTCTGTCCAAACCACTCCTGTTCTTCTGGGCCATGCTGAATGGTGCCTATTTTGGGCCTTGCTATTCACTTGCATACATACTGTTCTGGTACAAGTTAACGGAGCGAGGCTCCGAGGTACTTTGTTCCCCTACAGTTGTGTACTGCTGTGTATCTAGGCAGCGTCCCAGAAACATAGGTGTGAAGCTCATTTGAATCTCCTGTCAACTAATGTCTTATCTGTTGTCTAGTTTTATGATGTGTATAGGGATGGTTTCAGTATCTGTGCAGAAAAGGGTGAGGAGGAATGAGAAAAGGAGGATTTTTAGAGCATGATAAAAAGAACATATTCAAATGCACCAGTAAAAAAAACACCAAATTTTAAATGGACACTGTAACTTAATACTGGAGGTTTAGCTCATAGTTTAATCCCAATCTTAACCTTTTAACTTCATTTCTTTATTTGTTCCTGCCAGGTCTTCTCTGTCCCATGCTTTAAGTCATAACAGATTTCATTTAATATTTTTCATTTATATATTTCTTCCTCTATTCACCTTTTAATCCCTCTTTAATCCCCTAGTATGCAATCTTCTAAATATCTTCATCTGGATTATGTATTTAATAATGAATATCAGATAGAAAATATTTGTCATGCTATCAGAAATAGGAATTTGTTGCCCTGTTAGAAAAATCATGTGGCTAACCGAAGAATGCGCTTAAGATATAATGCAGAATTGTACATGAGATTCAAGTATAATTGAAGGCTAACCTGCTAAGATTCCAAAATATCTTTAAAACTGTATGTGTAAATGTGTGGTGTATGTATGTGTAATTGTCTAACAATTAGGCTCATAAATGTCATGATTAGTTCAAGTCCGCCAGTGAAAAAGCAAGGTACTGAGAAGATAGCAACATATTGCCCATGTTGACTTAATGCTGCAGGCTCTGTCCTAAAGCATAAGAAGGTTAACAATTAGTGGCTTTTATTGCAGCACTTTATAACACCTAGAACTTAATTAAGACACAAAGTCATGTTCCACAAGCCAGCAGGGAGCTGCTGACTTCCAGTCATTACCAACCTAGCCCACATTTGAGATACTGGTAAGACCTGACAGATTCTTATCGAGTATCTTATCAACCATTACTTCTATTGTGAACATCTTTTATAAGGAATTTCATTTTTACTTTTTATTTGAAACCACTGTCACAAGAACGGTTCTGGAATAAAAATGCAAGAAGTTTCTGCCTGTCTTTCAGCTTGCATGTGTAGGGCCTTGTGCTAGAGCGAAAAATATCTGCTGTTGCTGTTTAGCTCTGTTAACAGTGGAGAATCTCACAGGTCTGTGAGACTGAGTAGGTGCTTTTCTGGTTGGATCAGTACATTTWGTTCTTAGTTATTTTTTCAGTTGCAGAATCTTCTTTACTAATAAGGGTGCAAACCCTGGGAAGACAGTAGTGTACCTTTCAGATCTCAGGTTAAGTTTGTTAAAATAAACTTAAAATAAAGAGAGCTGATTTTTGTGATTCAAAACCTACTTTTCTACCAGGTTTTCCTAAGAATATATTTGCTTTTTAGATTTCATACCAAACAACTGGCATATACCTTGTCTTATTATCTCTGTGGTTATCCTTTTATTTCTTCAATGATTTTTCTGAGCTTTTACAGCTATAAATTTCAGACTTAACAGCATTACCATTTCATAAAATTCTGTATATTTTTAAATAAACCAGACATCTAAAGAAGGTGCAAAAGTAGAACATAGACTTTTTCATTGCCCTCAGTAGCCACCATCACAGCATATCTTGTAGAGTAAGCTGTCATATCTAGATCTATGAATCTAAACTTGATAACAGATCTGATAAGACATAAATAATAAAAGGACTGCTTATGCAAATTACATGCCAAGCRTTAACAGAGATTCTCCAGTAACTCCAGTGATTTGCAAGGTAGATTTGTATGGTAGATATATTAGTATTGCTATGAATAGAAGGAACATTTACCATGTGAAGTGCCTGGTTCTAAACAAATATTATAAAAGACAGTTTCCCTGCCCTGAAGAGCTTACAGACTAATAGAGACACGTTTATTACTTGGGGCTACAGCACAAAAATCCTGGAGCTTTGAAGAGATCAGTAAAGGCAGACTGGTTTGTAAGCTGGCTATGTGTTCAGTGGAGAGTGGAAGGAAGAAAAGGGTGTTTGCTTAAATGATCACTAGTTCTTGAAATAATTTGCTTGGAGATAATTGGGGGCTTTAAAAGAAAGCTTTTTAAAACATAATATACAGCCAGAAAATTTCCCAGAAAAATTTTCTCATGGAAGTATGAGAAGGAGTAGGTCCAGACATTGAATTCATAGCTGCTTTTTCTAAATTCCTTATGTCTGTAGTCCTGCTCTCCCTGGAACTGCCTTGGTCAGTGAGTGGGTACAGACCATCCCCAAATTCTTGGGAGCAAAACATGACAAACAGGATTTGCAGCTCAACTGAAAACTGGAATTTCATGTTCAGTACCTTAAGGGAGTTGTGTGATTTTTTCATAAATGCTAAATACCAAGGGGTTTTCTGTGTTCTCAAAGAGACTAGTCARGTGCTTAGCACTTTTGAAAGACTGAGCCCTTTATGTAGATGTTAAAAAAAGGCTTCATGGGGACATAAGATTGGAAGGCTCTCCAAAAGCATCTAGTACTTGCCTAATGAAAGCCAGGCAGATTTGTGTTCCCAGCTGGATTTGTTGCTTCTGAAATTCTCGTACTAGAAGTGTATTTTTAAGAACTTGTTTTTGAAAATCAGTCTTCCATTTCAAAAGGATCTGCATACAAGATTCATTGGTGTTTATGCATCATTAAAACTGCCATATACTAGTAAGATGAGTTAGTTCCAAAGATTAATTTTTGAGTGGAGGAAGAGAGCTGTAAACAATTGCTTTAGATATTTGTATCATTCATATAAAAAAGCAAGGTGAAGCAGAGCAAAAAAGAAGATAGGGACAGCTCAGTGTGTTTCTTATGTGATAGCCTTTTTGAGTGGAATGAAGTCATGTTATTAACCCCAAATAATATTCTGAAAGGCTATCCTAGCAGAATGTACATCAGCTGTTAGATTACTTCATTCCTCCACAGCAGTTGTTCATCTGAAAATAGCTTTCAAATGAAAAGAGGCAACTACAAAAGGATTAGTTACCATAGGCAGCATGATACTCCCACAAGATTATTTATGGCAGAACACCCAGAGACAAAGCTGTAAGAGAATCAAACTCTATGATTAAAAATAAATATATTAGAGAGGCTAGAGAATATGAAAGATATGCAGTAAGTTGGAGTTAGCTCTATACCATTTCTGTGTATTTCTTCCATAATGGCTGAGGCTTGTTGTTTCTTCTCTTTGACCATGGCAGAATGTGATAACATTGTGATTTCCTGATACGGTTTTCCTTGCTGGGGAAAAAAAAAAAAAAAATTACGTTGTTGAGCCAGCTTGCACAACTCAGCCAATTTCTGATACTGTATTTAGAATGGCTAAATAGTGAAATTAGTTACATCTAATTTAGAAATACTGAGTTTTGAATGGTGCAAAATGCAGTAGCAGTTCTTGCTTGCAAAGCAGATAAGGCATGTGCTGATGGATAGAAAGTCCCAAGGAACAAACTTYGGGCTATCTGAACTCTGTAGCAATATTAATGGCAGTGGTCTAGGCCTTCTCACATCTAAACATTATATTGAAAGATGTAAAATCTTAGCTATTTTTAAATACTCTTTCGTGAGCTCAAAAATAGTTATGTACACGTTTCTTAATCTGATAATGAATTTAAGGAGCTAAATTGGCTTTGTAAACAAAGAAAGTGCATTTCTGACTACATGAAAAATCACCATCCTTTTAATTCCAAAGTCAAGAGATTACATAAATGTCTTTATATGACAGTTTGTAGGACAGACAATGTCAAAATATTCCAGGAAACAATACACTTACCCTATTGTTTTGTTGCACAGGAAAAAGCGTTCTCAACTCTTTAGTTGAATCTTCAGGAGTTAGTTAKGAATGGGGATGACCTGCCTGGTCCAGGATGTTTCTAGCCTTCTGCTTGGATCTGCATGGTACCTAGTACTGAGACAAACTGGGGGCTGATCCTCTTCAAAGGGATTGGCATCCAGCTGACATCAACCAGTTATATATAGAATCAAACACTCCAGCCACTCATATCTTCCTGGCAAAAGAAGAGAACAGAAAAGATTCAACTGCACCCGCAACAAAGAGTTTATATCTCTTTCAGAGTTCATTGGGAGATTTAATCGAAGGCTCTTCTCATACTCGGACAGATCATCTCCTTSTTGCCTCTGAGAATAACAAACTCTGCGGTATAGCCAGAAAAGAGACATTTAAAAATAAGGTGTTAAATATATGGATGTACAAGACTATATGAGATGAGAATGGCCTGTTCTAATCCTTTAGTGAAAGATGAAACCATGCTTCAGTAGTGGCTGATGGCTAAAGTTAGTGGCAGATGGCTGATACACAAGTCTGTTCTTAAAAAGAAATGAAAATATTTGCAATATTACATGTGTTAGAATAATTTTACAGAACACACTTGCTTTCCTGTGTTTCAAAGTCTCATAATTTTCTTTGTGAAATGGGAACAGAAGCCTTCAATTATTTGAAATATCCTGGAATATGAAATATTAGTATATTTTTGCCTCAATATGCTTTGTCAGATATATGTAATATTACATGACATCAAGCACCTTGAGACAAAAAGAAATAGTGGCAGAAGGAAACCATATTCCCATGAGCCATTGTCTGAACTATGGATCAGTAGAAGCTAGGGAAACCTCTTCCTGTATTTCTGATTTGATTTTGATTTTGTTCTTGGAATTTTCTTCTCACCATCAGAATCTACCTGCTAGTGCTATTCATTAATAATTTCTTTTCCTTTTTTTTATGCTGTGATCTGATATTAAAACAGTACCAGCAAGCACAGTCAAAATCTTGGTTTAATCTTATCCATTCAGCTAAAGGCCAAGATTTTTCTCCTTCTGGTTGTGTGAGGCCTCCAGCAAGTTCTCTTGCAAGGTGAGGGGAAAATGAATGCAAGTACCCTAAGACTTCTAAAATAAAAATATTTATCCTTCTCCTCTTTCACATAAAATAGTTTAGTTAAAAAGGGAGACTATGAACTTTTCATTTCTTATGCATTTCCTTATTTGAGATGTTGTAGGATATGAACAAGAAAATTGAACACAAGGCTGAAATGAAAAGGTAATAATTTAACATGTGTGAAGAATGCTACTATATCTTTCAATCCAACCTGAGTGCTGCTTTTTCTCATTCCCTGATAACATGACTGAGCAAGGCTGTGAGCAACCTGACCTTACAGGCTTGGATCAGGGGCCTGACCTGCAGAGAGCCATTCCAGCTCGAATCATTCTGTATTTCCATGATTAGGCTGCTCATGGGAAACAATCAGGCTATTTTTTTCAAAGATTAACAAACTGGGCCGAGGTGATAAGGGCTATAAAGATGCATGATATTACAGATTACTTACAAAATGGTTACTTTGCATACACCCAAGAAAAATCAGTGTTGAGGCACAAAACTGGAAAGCCTCGTAAAGGAAAGGGATTTAAAGATCTTTTCTTCCTAGAATATAAATGACTATCATCAGTTTCAAATTACTAATAGGAATTTATGAAACCAATTGTGTTTCTGTATTGGACAGAATTTGACAGTTGGTGATAGAAGGGGGGGTAGGCATAAATATTTTGACTTTAATGTTTTGATAACATGCCACATTTTCTTAAGCAAGTARAAGGAAAAGCATTCTTTGAATGCCTACACAATTTGCACTCTAGGAAGCAATTCTCAGTGATTCACCATCAAACTGTCAAATGAGATTGAACAAGAGTCTGTCGGGATTATATTATTAAGTATTTTCATTAATTACTTCAGTGATATAGTAGAGAATGTCTATTAAAAGCCAGACTAGGAAAATTTCAAGCCATCTACAGTTTAGAACTTGAGCTTCAAATTATCTCAACAAATTGGAAAAAAAAATTCATTCAGTAAGACCACATCTAAATGAAATTTAGTATAGTGATGTTGTAGAGAGAACCTCTTTGGCAATTTTTAAGAGCAGATTATGAAACGTCTGTCAACAGTAGTTTAGCATCTTGTCTCAGAGGATGGAAATGAACTGTATGTCCTTTAGATATCTCTTTCAGCCTTCATTTTTTTGTAATTCATGTGAAAATAAATACCCCCTACACAGGAACAGTCACTATTTAACAATCCCCCAATTTAGCCTCTTAAATTCATATTTCATGTTTTGACATTTCCTGAACTGTCTAAGTTCAGCAATGTCATTTGTTCCATAGAAAAAGCAATGGAGGACCCAGGCAGAAAACCTTATTGACAGATTTTTTTACCTGTAAATTTTATGGAAGTGGAACTTCAAACAACTTAGTCAAATGACTGTTGTAGAATTTCATTTACTACCACCGTCTCGAGGTTTTGCCTTCAGCCGAAATAGAAATAAGTATGTTATGTCATTGCAGCTGGAAAAGAGTAATGTTTAACTGTAGTAGCTGTAAAACAAGAACTGATCTCATTGCATGCCACTTTCTTTCATAATGCTTAAGGAAGCTCCAGGCCCCATAAAACATCCAAAGCTGCTAAAGAATTTTGAATATGTATACGTGACTAATAGTGTGTCCATAGCAATGAGGAAAGGTTAAGGAAGGTGAAAGAATTACAGTAATATTCTACATCATAACAAATTCAAACCCTGCATTTCAATGAGGAGAAATGTTTAGCAAGTGGTAAACCAGGATAATTAAGGCAGCCTGTGAACAAGGACAACATTTACCTGTCTTCTGACTTTAGGTTGTTTTTGTTTAACTAAATAACACTTTTCCTTCTAGCAGTCTTTTCCATCTCGTTGTGGGCTCTTTCTCACCATGCTGCTTCCCCAGAATTGCATAACTGGCCAGAAAGGAAGGCCAGGCTCCAAAGTGGAAAAAAACTGAACTGCAGACACCCAATTTCCCTCTCCCGTAGTATCTTATTCAGAATAGGAATGAAAGAGGCTCAGGGATTAGACGTGACTGCTAGTGAAAAAGAAAGCTGTATTTGCTCCATTTCACAGTGAAAAAAAAATCATTTTAAGCCTTTTAACCTTTGAATCAGCGGATATTTCTGTATTTATGTTTTCTGATTTCCATGTGTTAGTGTTGCCTTTCTGTAAAAATCCAAAGATATCATTGTTTTTCTGGTATTTATAGCAAGCCAATCTTTGATTTATTATTCTCACAAATATTCTCCAGCTTTCTAACATACATGTAGATAGTCTATTGTATGATTCATCTTTGCCATGTCATAACTAGTGGCAATTTGCATAAAAACCTTGGAAAAAAAAACCTAAAAAGATCTGACTGGTTTATCTATAAAATAGAGTAACCAAAGTTGCCTATAACTTATAGGAGCCTGTAGTTTTTCTTGGGCACAAGGAGCACACTGTACTTCATCAGTCCTCTTTCATTCCCTCTTTTATTCATTTCATGGGATCCTTCTATGTTTAGGATATGCATTTTAAAAATATATTGTTCCTTTCTGCAGTGCAGGGGTAGTGCTGGAGCAGAGCTTCCCTGCATCCTGGAGGCTTCATCATCGCCTCAGCTTGTCCCTGAGATGTGAGTGTGGTGCTCTGGCACTGCCGGTGGGATGCTGCGACTGCTCTAGTTTAGCCTACAAGAACAACAGATATGGGTGTGATTTCTCAAGATTTATCACTTCTACTTGGCTCACACTTTCATTCTTTGTTTCCTGTCACTAAGAGTGAAAAGACTGTCATTTGAGGGGCGGGGTGCGGGGAAGAATGCTGAAGGCCTGATTTAATCCCATGAGCTAAGTCCACAGACACAGGCCTGTACTGTCAAAGACTTAATCTGGCCCAGCAGCTGGCCAGGAAGCTTTAATTTTGTACATGCATTTTCTGAAGCTCGCTAGTTAAAAACTCATTCATTTCTGTGGGTGGTCTGCTGTGCTGTGAAGTTGACTTATTGCTTGGATTGTTGTTTTCTCTTTCCCTTCACTCAAAAGGATTCATTTCTTCTTGCTGCTTTTAACAAGAGCATTACAGTTTGTGTTAATGTTACAAGCATGCATTTTGCCTACATAAGAAACKTTTACAGAGTGAAGCTTCACCTCTGAAATATTGCATGGCAAGTAGAATATTTGTGTATGTCTTTAGCAGGTCTGTGTTTGTTTGGCATTAAGTCCTTTTCATATTGCATTTAGTTTCTACTTCACTTCAAGGACTTGGGTGCCTGACATTGGTTTATTTTGTGATTAGATCCATGTGCTGAGGTTTTAAGGAAAGCAACATCAATTTGAAGTGCATATTACCATTCCCAATAACAAAAAGCTTCAAAGAGATCTTTCTAAACATACCATTCTGTCAAGGTGTTAAGCTGCTTCTGTTTCTTAGGAAGAGCCAAACAGCTCAAACTGCTCCAGTATCTTGGAACTTTGGTTTATGAACCTGAGAGGGAACCTAAAGAGGAAAATTTTAGTCTTGCAAGGTCTTTACTAACTATAAAATACATAATAGATTTTAAAGTTCTATTTAAAAGATGCAGATCCAACACTTTTCTCAATGTATATCTGATTTTTTATGAGCTCCACTGATTCTGTTAGTCACTTGCACTTCAGATGTGTTTTCATTTTTTTGAAAGGTAAAAGTGTCCTTTTACAGAAAGCTGACATTCTTAGGAATCCAGGAGCTGAAAACTGAAAGGGGTATGATGAGATTTAGGATTAAATTTTGAAACATTAACAGCATTGTTGCTCTGGCAAAGTTTCTCAGTTCTAACTCACAGGAAAAGTATGTGATTTCTTCATACTCATGTAACTCCTCTTTTTCTGCTCAGGCAGCTGCAATACTGGTAGTTATTCTCAGTGATGCAGCTATCTTTGCAGCAGGGGATAGGAGACAGTCACTGAAACACCATCAAAACCATTTGTGATTTAAAGAAATAAAGTGCAAGTCCCAATCCTACCAATGATCACCCATTGAATTTTATGTTTGTTCCACTGAATTTGATATAGTTATGATGCTAAAGTGACC